CCAAGGAGACGCTCGCGCCGGCAGCATCTGTGGGGACTGACCTGCTTTAAAAGTGCCACTTGCATGGCCTCGGAAATCGCTGAAATCGGATGACACGTTACTTACCGACGTCTGCACCCCAACTGGGAGCGCCGGGTCGGGGGTTAGGAAGCAATATGCGAAACGCCAGGCTGGAACCCGAATGCAGATCCATCGGCCGCCCCCAAGTCGCGCACGCAGGCAGAGGCGCTGGGGTCACCCCCGGCCCCTCCTCCGCGCCAACTGTGTAAATCAGTCGCCGCAGTCCTCTCGCCGCGGATCGCAGGCAAATCCCTGCTTAGGAAGCAAGGAAGCAAGTGATTCTCTCTCTCTCTCTCTCTCTCTCTCTCCTCTCATCGGTCACAAGCTGGCAGCTCTACAAAGAGAAACCCTGTAAAACTGAATGACAGGAAGTCAGCATTCTGTATCTGTGGATTGATTTCAACTTTATTTGCAAAGGAGGGAAGGCTGTTTGGAAAATTACAGCCCAGGCCCGAGGAGGGGCGGCCGGGGGGGATCAGACTAAGAGACTCGGCGCGGTCTGGTGGGCAGCATCGCTGACCGCCCCCTAGAAGCTGGCTCCCAGGGATGGGCAGGAGCCCCCCACTCGCATGACACATGGGTGACAGTTTGGAAGTACACATGTGTCCTCCTCCGTTTACACTTGCTAAGAGAGAGGACAAGAAAACTGTGGTGTGAGGGGAGGTGGATGGGGCATTTGCTGGGGCGATGCTGGGAAATGAAATCAAGGCGCCCCAACAATGATTGCACCTACGTGGAAGTCTTAGTACAACATCACAGACCCACCGGAGGCGACCACGACCCCCCACTGCAGTCAGACTAACGCAGTCATTTAATGCTCCATTCAACCTGCAGTGTAAACCGACGCAGTTCTTTTTAATAGATCCCTTTCATGGGCGACTGTGCTGGAGAAAAGGCCGCCTCCCACCAACTCCCCAAACTGAACAGGAGGTAGTCTGGGGAGTCATCTCTGTATCTCTTGCTATTCCTTCCTGAAGTGAACGCAATAAATTGTCCACGACAAGCGGAGTTGTGTAGTTACCGTAATTGTCGACATAAAATGAACTCGACCTTATTTTAAGAAGCTTTCAAAGGAGCTCTAACTCAGCCCTTGCAAAGGAACAGTGCTCTCTGCTAGTTTATGTGTGAAAACCTTTGAGAAACAGGCCTGGTGGTATGATTTTAGCACTTATTTTATAGGTTTCCTATATGCCATATTATTCTATATTGTTACTCTATGTTATATACATAAAATGCCACAAGTCTAGTGGCCATATTATCTTTATTAAAAGAGAGGACTGGTCACTTAGAACCAAGGGACTGTGGAATTTGGCGGAGTGTGTGTGTGTGTGTGTGTGTGTGTGTGTGTGTGTGTATACCAAATTCAGTATGGCAGCTATGTGGTTATGCCTAAAGTTTGAATATAGAGTTTAGATTGCTTTAAAAAAAAATAACATGATTATAATGTTTCCATTTTTTTATTCCAAAATATCCAGTATTCTTTAAGATTATTTAGATTAACAAGGTATCTACAGGAACCAAGAAAGTTAGAAAAGCACTGTGATATTAAAACCTATTTTTTCTTTTAAATACCGCTTTTACAATCTAGTGGCATGAACTCCAAACCTCTCCTCAGTATTTTCTTGTGAATAAATGCCTCCATGTGAATTTTACAGGTATGAAGGCATGCATATGAAAAGGACAGTTTGTCTTGGGGCTGCAAGTAGCGTTTTAAAGAGGTGTGTCCAGGAAAGGTTGCGAAAAAGGCCCATTCCGATAACAAATGAGTGTGATTTAGGGGAACCAAACTCCATCAGTGGGCTGATGAGTCATGGAGATGTTTCTGGCCTTTTCAGGGAGTTGCCTCATTGGAGGAGAATCACTCCTGAGTACGCCATATTCTGTGTGGGCAAGTGTGAAATCACACACATGCCCCTGAGCCTCACGGCTAGAGGATATTAGAGCAACCCTGGAAGAAATCATGCAACCTCATTCCCAAAATAGCTGAACCTCCTTAACTTTGGGGGACTATTTTTATTTGATTGGATTCTCAAGGTTATTTGTTGATGAGAGAACTCTGAATATGTTAATAGATTTACTCTGAGCAGATCTTGGTGTTACCTGACTGTACAGGGGAACTATAGAAGATTAAGTATCTAAGATGGGTTGTTAGTGTTAAAAGTGAGTTCTTCCAACACAAATCTTTCAGGCCAGATAAAAATGTTGTGGGGTAAGTGATTGAGATGGACCTTTGGGTGATTCTATGTTGTGACTTTTTAGTGCATTCTGCAAAGGTATTTATGTACATGAGCATCATTTTATTTTACGCAAATGTAATTTACATTGTGAAAAAGAACTCTCATAAAAAAGAAACATGTTCTTTTTTAATTTTTTTTTGTGTGTGTCAGTTTTTAGAGAGAGAGAGGAAGGGAGAGAGATAGAGATAAAAACATCATCAATCAGTTGCCTCTTGTGCACCCCCTACTGGGGATCAAACCCACAACCCAGGCATGTGGCCTGACTGGGAATTTAACAGTAATCTCTTGGTTCCTGGGTCAATGCTCAATCACTCAGCCATACCAGCCAGGCAAAAACTGTTCTTTGTTGATGATGCATAATGGATACAATGAATACAGAGAAATAACATAAAGAATGTACTTTTCAGTTCAACAAAAATATGTTTAAATTGTTGATTGACATATGTATATATTTAGTTACAACTACTTTACAGTATTTCACAACTTTTTAAAATGACTGTCATTTTTCAGACAGGAACAATGGTATTAAAGCAAATCAAGTAGGCATATACATATATTGTATGTATGTGTCTAGCATATATTTTACCCATTCTGATTTAAGTAAAGTAAATAAATGTATCTATAGAAAGATTTAATGCTGATTTAAGTGGTACTAGAGAATTTGGTGAACAACGGAGCATTTACACAAGGAAGTTCCAAATTTTGTTGCAATTTATGATGATATACAGCATGCCAAAGTTATCTATATATTGTATTCATCTGTTTTTAAGTATTACACAAGCATTCATGAAGCCTACCTCTTTCTTTCTTTGTCTATTCCAGATAATTTTTTAGGCCAATAGACTATGTGCTTGGTAATTATCAAAAAACTAACTATATGCTTATTTGATTTACTTTTGATGCTACTATTAAAATAATTTTAAATATAGTTACTGCCATTTTATAAATGGGGATTTTGTCTGTAAAAATAATTAAAAATATGATAAAACAAAATTTTTTTTTTAGCTTTTTTCAGTTGTGGAGATGGTTAGTATTTTTTGAAAGAATTCAAAGGATTGAACAATTCAAACTCAGTACTACATCTTTCTATATATATAAAAAGCCAGTGGACCTGAGCACAGTAATGACCAGAACAACCAGTTGCTATGATGCCCACTGCAGCTGCGAACCCTCCTGATCAGGGTTGTGGCTGGCTGGCCAATCTCCTGTGGCCCCTCTCACCCATGTGCCCCACCCCTTATTGTCCTTCCTACCCCAATAGGGGGCAGGGCTGGCCAGCCAACCTCCTGCAGCCCCTCCCCCCAGCTAGCTCCGCCCTTGATTGGCTCCACACACACCAATTGGGTGTGGGGTGGCTGGCCAATCTTCCCTGGACCCTGCCCTAGACACTGACCCCTAATCAACCCCTCCACCCCAATCGGGAGGGGGCCCACAGGCCAATCACCCTGGGCTCCTTCCCCCAGCTAGCGCAGCCCTGATTGGACCCCGATTGGGATGGGCCAGCTGTCCAACCTCCCGCTGTCTCCTCCTCCCAACAGGCTCGGCCCTGATCCACCCTGCTTGGGGCCAGGCCAGCGGACCCCACCCATGCATGAATTTTTGCACTGTGCCTCTAGTATATACATAAACGTTTATGTGGGATGTTTCTATGACTCCATGGGAGAAACATGTCTGAAACATTTTATGCCATGTTGTAAAAATTCCAAAGCAATTGATAAAACTTTGTTTTTCCAAAAGTGTCATAAAATTTAATGGACCAACATAGATTTGTGGTTGGTAAATATGATAAAATTACAAGATAGTCAATTAGATATCGGTCTTTTCCATTTTCTTTCACTAAAATATTTAGGAGCACATTATAGGCATCTGCTTAATGACACCACGGTTTATTTTTGAAGTAAATATGTGTTTTAATCTCAAAAATTACGTGAACTATTTTAGGATTCCCAACATTAATCTATTCAATATGAACAAAGTTTTCATCTAGATTAAGTATAGAAAGTTATTGCTTCTTTTATAGGAGATTTTGTAAAATTATGTGGAATTCATAGATTGTAAACTTTAGGATTAAAACTTCTGAGAAGGCAAAAAAAAGCCTTAACATGACAAAGATATGGAGAAATTTTAAAAACATGTATTTGTTTAAATGGATTGAACTGTTGAATAATACATCAGAAAATAAATGATAGGCAGAAATGTAGTGGAGAGGTGTAAATCACATGTTTTAGCAGTGAAGGTAGTTTTAAAGTATATAATGAGAGAAGGGAATGAGAATTATTTAGTAACATCAGAGAATCTTAGCATTAGGAAGGACTTGAAAGGTTATCTAGTCTGACCAATTATGTGATATTCAAATCCTGACTTCACAATCCCTTGCCAAGTTGTTATCCGGACTAAGCTTTAATTGCCTGTGATGTGGAGCTTAGTACATTTCGGGGCAGCTCATTTTATTTTGGGACAATCTAACTGAGAGATAAAAAAAAAATAATCAAACTGGGGGGGGGGTTCTTTTACTTCCTATTCATTTGTTTTAGTTACCCCTTGAAGATTTGTTTTAAAATATAAGGTAATAAACTTCCTACTTATTTGAGTTAGGTTTATATATATTCATGCAGAAAAACTCACCTGGCAGGTAGAAATGCAGAATCAATCTTCAAGAGATGAGTCCGTACTAGCCAAGAAGTCACTTAAGTTGATAACTGACACCATGAAACTCATAATTTGTTGTAACTACTAAAGTGACAAAATGTTAGACGGTATTAAAATGCTTGAAAGTTATTACTGAAATATTAAAAATATTTTATCTGTTTTTCATGGAAGTCCCTTTGGAGCTACATGGGAAGTTCTATGAGTGTCCTCTTAATCTACTAATTTAAAATCACCAACAACTATTCATTCATAGAAGAACAGTACATTGGCATCAGCTAAAGAACCCAGAAAGCCTCAA